AATGACAAGCCAAATAGCCTTTAAGTTAAATATACCTCATAGACTGAAGTTGTAACTCATATTAGGAAGGCTGGATCACTTTTTATAACTAGCTGCTTATACAGTTTATTTTTATCTAGGTCTTCATGTTTTTATTTCAATATATTATAGGGCTTTCACCTACATAGCTGGCAACGTCTACTCTTTCATTTAAGATCATACAAGGTATGTAATCATGGCAACAGTAACTATGCTGTGAATTTTCTTTTGTCATGTTCAATAGACTGGTCATTTAGGCACCTACAAAAAACAGCTTGGCCAGAGGAACAGAGGAGCTCCATAAACAAACATCTTCTCTTCAAGTATCAGATTCACAAAAGAATTGTTTTCTCCCTAATTATGCACAAAAAAAAACTGGAAGAAGTCTTCCAAGTGGAATATCTTTACATATCACAGATTTTTGTTTTGTTATTGAACTTCACTTGTTGCTAAGGAAGAACAGAGAAGATCACAGGACTTCTAACTACTAGAAAACCCAAGGTGAGGGAGTTTTGATTTCTTTCTCATTCTTTAAAGATTCATCACTGAACTACAACAGTCGCTGGTTCATAGTTCTATGAAAAGAATGTGTGAATGATGTGAGCCTGCTTTGCTATTTCATATTTAACTTCAAACATCAAACAATATCTCAATTCATTTTCTGATTAGCAACATGATCATGCATTCAACTAGCCTGTTTACAAATCCATATGCAATTGAAGTCGTAAGGACTAAAAAAGAAGAGCTAGTAGAAGGCATAAACGACCCAGACCATCTTCTGAACTGGCTGATAGACAATGGTATTTTTACCCCAGAAAAAAGGATGGTCATGAGTTTCTACAGGACACGAACAGAAAAGAACTCTCGAGTTTTAGACATACTAATTTCTCAAGGGGAACGAGCCTGCAGGCTCTTTTTTTATCCATGTTTAAAGCAAGTGGAGCCAAAACTTTATAGCAAGATGAGAAAATATGTCAATGAAGTAAATGAAAACATTGGAGATGCTAGAAGACAATTGGTAGGATATTTACTCGAAAAAGACAAGGTTTGGTTTGAAAATAGCAGTGAAGGGCACCAGGAAAAAAAAGACAGTCCTAGAAGGAAAAAGCAAGAACAGGCTATTAAGAAGAAAGGAAAAGAAACTCAACTTTCAAGGGCAGCAAAACCTAGAAAAGATCATGCTGATGTTGGCATCTTTGATGCAGTCGCTAAAGGCTATCTTTCTGAGTTAGAGAAAACACTGGAAGATAATGATATTAATGCACTGAACTCCTCAAGTGAAACACTTCTGCATGTCGCAGCTGCTAATGGGCATCTAACGATAATGGAATATTTGATCAGCAAAGGTGCAAAGACAGATGTGAAGGACAAGAAAGGAAGAACACCGCTGCACAGGGCTGCTGAGAAAGGCCACGGTGATGCAGTGAAAGTGCTTCTCCGATGTGGTGCTTATATGTACAGTTTGGATACGGAAGGCAAGACACCACTTCATTTGGCTGCACAGAATAAACACAGTCACATACTGAAGATGGTCCTGAAAGAAGAGGCAAGAAGCTACAGGAACCAGCACAACTTTTTGCACATGGCAGCTCTTAAAGATGAGAGCAGTCTGTCAAAGATGCTTTTAAAGGCTGGCGCCTCCACTGATGGAAAAGATGAAAGAGGACAGACTGCTCTCAGTTATGCTCTTTCTCAGGGGTCTGAAAATACTGCAAAAGTACTGCTAGAAGCCGGAGCCAGTGTTGACTCCAATACAGCCGAAAGAGCCTTCAACAGCAACCACCCATCCATCTTCAAAACACTACTAGAATATTCTAAAGATTTGTCACCTGACATAATGAAGTCAGCTCTTTTTAGAGCTGTACAGAAAAATCTGCATGGTATTGTAGCAGCTTTAATTGACAGAGGTACAGATATAAACGCCTACAATGAAATGCAGTACACTCCTCTACTCCTGGCATGTGAAACAGGCAAAGCTGAATCAGCAGAAGTTCTAATTGAAAAGGGAGCAAACTTCAGAATAAAGACTCCTGCTTCACACACAGCTTTGCACTTGGCAGTTCAAGCTGGGGCTGCTTCCATTGCAAATCTGCTTCTGCGCAAAGGGATGGAAGTTAACCTTATGAACCAAGCTGACGAAACCCCGCTCCATGTTGCTGCCCTTCATAATAAAGGAGCATTAGTTGGCCTGTTAGTTAATGCTGGGGCCAAAATTAATGCTGTCACTAAAGAGTTTGTTACTCCCCTGCATATTGCAAGTCAAAGAGGTAACACTGATGTTGCCCAACAGCTGTTGCACCACAAAGCCAATGTCAATGTTAAGGATAAGCAGTCAAAATCACCTTTACATTTTGCTGCTGAAAGGGGAGACAAAACAATGGTAGAGATGCTTCTGAACGCTAATGCTGACCCCAATGCACAAGACAAGGAGAAAAAGACTCCCCTGCACACTGCAGCTGTGAGAGGATATCTCAGTATCGTGAAAGTTCTGTTAGCTAAAAAAGGAAGATTCGGAGCTAAGGACATGGATGGATGTACTCCAATACACTATGCAGCCACCAAAGGAAACACAGAGATCGTAAAAATTCTTCTGACATCAGGGAAAAATAAAAATATTGATGACAGAAACATTTGGAGAAAGACTGCACTGCATATTGCAGCGGAATATGGACACAGCGACTTGATAAATCTATTACTGAGCCATGGGGCAGCCATTAATGCCTTAGACAGCAGCAAGGATACTCCATTGCATTGTGCATGCAAGGCTGGTCATTTTAATGCTGCAAATTCCCTCATAAACTGGTCAGAAGGAGAAAAAGCAAATTTACTAGCTGCTAATAGTCTCAAAAAGACCCCATTGCAAGTAGCAGAATTTAATAAAACAGAAAATCAGGCTCAAATTATAACACTTTTGAAAAGGAAAATGTTAATAACGAAATGAAGATGTAAAGCAAAAAATTCTAAATTTAAATTCAGCATTCTCTTTTAATGTAATTTGGATAGTGCTGTTGCCCAGTATGATTGAGAATTATGTTACAGCAGGCAGAATTAAGTTAGCAATCAAAGGTGCCCATGGAAAAAAAGGATCTTAAAGACATCGTTAAACTTCTAAGTATTGATTAGTCTTTTGCTTCTCTCACAAATCTCATACTTGGAACCTATTTCAAAAGCACCAGTCTTAAACACATTGTGCGTGACCTCCTCCAGTATAAATCAAGACTTTAAAGAAAAAAGACAGAAAATAACTTTTCATATATCTGTGAATATTAGCCTGTATGGATAGCTTAGTTGAGCGTTGTTTGGTAAAATCAGATCTTTAAAAAGCCAAATGTGATATTCTGATATTCTCTCTATTATCAATAAGGAGACATCTGTATCCTCAAGGACATAGAGCATAGAGATGCCAGAGTAGGTAACACTAGTTTTGTTTAGCTTAGGCAGACCTAACTGCAGAGTGCTGCCACAAGAGATTGATCTGCCCTCCCTTTCAGTCCAATCATGCATGCAGGTTTTATGAGTGAGCTGATCCAACTTATTCCGCAGCTATAACTGAAAAAAAGGGAGAAGCAGGGTAGCAAACAGCTGAACAGCACTGGCTCTCCTGAGGGTAATGTAGTATTAGCTTGGCTTATGCTCATTACAATATTGGTCTCTGAGCTGACTGGAGATCAGGAGGCATCTCCCTGCAAATCTACTAGTGTGGGGTTGCTCTGCTCTAGATTTACTAGACTCACTCCCTGTGGTAATTAATCCTATCAAGAGGCTTGGTATAAACCAACCAGAGGAGTAGTATGTGCCCAAAACTTGGCTAACACAATGATGTTGTTTTCAGGACACTATTATATGCTACACTGACAGTCAATATTGGGCTGGACCCTCTTTAGACATTTCTGTATTATACCCGATGCCATGGCACTGACAGATCCCAAGACCATGACAATTATTTTTCTATCTTTCATCATACCATTTGTCTAGATTTTGCATTTTTAAGTAGAGATAATGAAAACAATCACATTTGCTGTTTATTAATTTAACTTTCAGATCAATTCCAGCACAAAGATGAAATGTTCAGAACAAAAAGATTGCAGCAGAGTTTATTGGTTCAAAATATTTGTATTGTCATCTCTTAAAACAGAAACACTTTCTTGAGTCGACGGAAGGTTCTCTGTGGTCATTTTCCACATAACGATAATCAACCCTCACGGTTCTTCACGCTTTCCTTCAGTATATGATTAGATGCCCAATTACCATGTAGGGACAAATACTTCTTGTGAAATGGAATACAAATTTAAGAACTTATGGGAATAAAACTGTGACTTTTATAGCCATCTTACCACACAACCCGCACAACACCCTGCTGCTGTTATCTTCTAGATGAATGAAAACACATGACCGCATGCTTGGAAGTACACAGACAGAGGCTAGCAAAACCGACATCTGCAGCACGATGCACCGAAATAGCGTCCCTCTTCAGCCAGCGCATCACCCTTCAACGGCCCCGGGTTCACCCCGGGCAGCTCGCAAACGCCGTTAGCCCAGCGTGCTTCAGCAGCCGCAAGCGTTGAACGGCGAGTCGCCAGGCGGGCTCCTGGCCGCCCCGCGGCACGGCTTCCCCCGGGAGCACTCCCACCCCACAGCCAGCGGGGCAGCCCGGAGGAGCAGCCGGCAGCTGGGCGCGCGGCCTGGGCGGGCTCCAGCCTCCCTCTGCTGCGGCCCGCTCTTACCCCTCAGCCCCCGCGCTCTCCCATCCCTGCCTGACGGTCACCCCTTCCCCCTCCGCCCGCACCCTGGAAGTTGCCCCTCAGCGCCCGGCTCGCCCTCAGCTGCCCCCTGCGCGCCCCGCCTACCCCAGCGCCATCTCTCCGCCTCCACCCCGGCTTCTCCTCAGGGCGCAGCTTCACTGAGGGCTGCTGCGCACGCGCTGCGCTCCGCGCGTGCCCCGTCACCGGCGCGGGGCGGTGCTCCCGCCCCTTCTCGCGAGATCGGCGGGGCCGGTATCATGGCGGCGGCGGAGGAGTTGGAGGTGGACATCGAAGGGGACCCGGCGGCCGTGCCCGGAGAGGCGGCGCCGGGGTGAGTGAGGGCCGTACTGCGGGCTGGCAGCCCTGCCGTTGCGGGGGGCGCGTCACTTCCCCTCCGTGGGCAGGGCTTGCGGGGCCGCGGCGGG